TGGCACTGATTGACCCTCTTTATCAAAGGGGAGTTCACTGAATATACAGTTGGCCATTTCCAAGTGAACCGATCTGTGACATTTAGTGCGCTCACAGTTTTACCTCGTTCCAAACATTCCCAGGGCTCCAAGGCCAGCCCCACCCACTGCGTCCAGCCCCGGGGATCCCTCACCTGCCCCCTGTCTCTGTGCATTGGCCACTTTTCCATATTTCCTGTAGATGGCATCACGCATAGGTCACCCCCAGCCGGGCACCTTTCCCTGAGCGTGTCTCCCAGGTGCATGCAGGTTGGCCCCGGCTCAGCCTCATTCTTCCCACCCTTTGAATGGGCGTACCGCAGTCTGCATCCCCGCTCTTGGCTCTTCAGCCTTGGAATCCCTGCTCGTAGGTCTTTGGGCTCTGCCCCAGGGATTCCATTGCTCTGCAGTGAAAGCCTGTTTGCTTATAGATCTTTCTGGTTGGACTCTGAGCCTCTTGAGAGCAGGGGAAGACAGACAGGTGCCCAAACACAGGGGCTGGCACAGCCTGGGGACAGGTGGGCGGAGTCACGAGCACCGAGATGCTTCTGAAGGTGCTCAGGCATCTGTCCGTTCCTCTGTACCCCTGGGGTGGCCCGGGCTGGGGCTTCACTCACTTTGTCTCATGACTTGCTCCTGGCTCTGCTCTGATAATTGCTCAACAGTCCCCTGTGGCCTCCTCATCCTTTTCTGATGGAGGTAGCCCCAAGCAGGTTTCTGTTTCCTGGTTACCATAGAAGACCCCAAGACTCAGAGAGGTTAAAGAACTTGCCTAAGGTCACAGAGCTGGTCAGTGGTGGATCCCAGCTGGGTCCCAGTCCCAGATTCTTTCCATGTCACTCAGGGAGGGCGACGGATAGAGGGACAGCGTGCAGAGTGGTCTTGCCTTGAAGTAGAAGTGTAAGGTGGTTTAAAGAAAAAAACAACCCTTCCTTACACATGTTTTGCGTGGGCTCATCTGACAGCCTGTTCGTCCATCCTGGGCAAATACATCACTCCAGACCTCGCCGCGGGATGGAGAAGCTGTGTGGGCCTGAGTCTCTGTCCCGTCCCTGGCTCGCAGAGTTCATTAGCCTCACAGTGACAGGGCCACCAGCGTGACCAGGGCTGGGCTAAGCACGTAGCTTGTGCTCTTCCATTTATTGTCATCATAGTCCCCAAGGTTTTGTCCCCTGCTTCTCAGGGGATAAAACCAAGATTCAGAGAGGGTAGGGGAGTGTCCGCGGTCCCGTAGCCAGGAAGTGGGGCCGGCCAGACTTGAAGCCCAAGTCACCCGAGTTCAGAGCTGGCTCTGGGTCACTGGGAGGGAGTGTGCATACCTAATGGGGAGCAGAGATGGCCGAGGGGGGCCTGGACGGGGGAAGCGGAGGGTCTTGGTGAGAACGAGCCCTTGTTCCAGCGTCCCTTCCCATTGATCTCTGTTGGTCCGTGTGGTTGCCCCTGTGTGCCCTGGTCATCAGGTGGCCGAGGTCCTGGGTTCAGATTCTGGCAGCCGGTGACCACGCTGCCGTGACCTTGGGCCTTTTTCCTCTCGGCATCTTTGCTGACCTCGGTATCCTCATCTCCAAAACGGAGCTCAGCTCAGCTTTGGCCCTTTGTACCCAGAGTTACAAAAAATTCAGATTAAAAAAAAAGCCCTATTAAAATGGGAAGGGAGCAGACGATGACCCATGGATCTGTCTGGTGATTTTTATTTGTTTTTTTATATTTTTCTTAAAGAAAGAGGCACAGAAAGCCGTCTGGGGAACTCGGCAGCCGCACAGGGACCGTGGCTGTGGAATGACATGGCCTTTTCTCGTTATGTGAATTTGGGATTGTTTTTGGTGATGCAGATGTGATCCCAGAGTGAGTTGTTTTAATTTAAATGGGGGCAGAGAGTCCGTGGCCATGAAAGTGCATTGTAAACGGTCAGGCGAGCCGTACGGGGGCTCCTGTCACGTTGTCATAGCGATTGTCACCAAGGGGCTCCGCGTTGGAATCTTCCCTGCTCCACATCTCCTCCGGTGGCCCATCCCGGAGACCCGAGGCCGTTCCCTTCCCCGGTCCTGTTCCTCCGTCCCCACCAGCCTGTCCCCCAACCCCTTCCTTACCCATTCTTTAAAAAAAAAAATCATTGGCTTCATGATGCAGTATTTTGATTGTCACCTCGTCGTCATCGTACATGCGGTGTACACATAATGTGTCCTGATTAGAGCCGAGTATCCAGCACATCCATCGCCTTAAACATTTATCATTCCTTCGTGCTGGGAACCTTCCAAATCCCCTCCACGAGCTATTTTGAAGTATGCAATTAGTAGTTGTCAACCCGAGTTACCCGGCTGCGCTGCTGAGCCACGGAAAACCCTTCCTCCCGCCCGCTGCAGCCCTGCCCGGCCCGCCAGCCCCCACCTCCTCTCCTTTCTTCTTCTCCAACACCAACTTCTCCGCGTCGGTGAACGAGTGAGAACACCTGATGTCTGTCCTCCAGAGGTGCCCACTTCACGGTGGCTTTGCTGCCACCATCAATTTCAGAGCCAACATCATTTGTTACGTTGTCCCTGCAAAACCCTCTTATCGGACCCCCTTGTCCGTGCAGGGACCCCAGTGATCTTTGAGAAATGAATCTAACTGGGTCACGGGTCATGCCTCCTCCAACTCCCCAGACTTTCCATGGGGCTCGTGGAGGAGGGTGCCTTCGCCCCTGGCCTGGTGGGGCCTGTCTGTCACGGGTTCCTTCAGCCTTTTGTGGGGCCAGTAGTCACACTGTGGTCACACCCCGAGAAAACCACCTACTGAGACACATCCCCAGCCCTTTCTGTTTTATCTTTGAGACAGGGTCTCGCTAGGTTGCTTACAGCCTCACTAAGTTGCTGAGGCTGTCCTCAAACCCGAGATCCTCCTGCCTCAGCCTCCTGAGCTGCTGGGATTACAGGTCTGAACCACGGTACCCGGCACCGATGTGGTTTTGAAGCCTGGTACTTTGGTGCTCTCTGACCCTGATATGTTTCTATCTCAGCGTGGAGGATGAAGAAAGGCTGTATATTTGCTGCCCGAGAGTCTGAATCTTTAGGACAAATTTGTAGGTGTACCGTCAATAGGGTAAATGAGTAAAAAATGTTCATATGCTATTGATATGAAGGCTGGAAACCTCAATCTGTGTTCATTACAATGGGATTCTTTTGAAAAGTCTCCATCCTTCTAATAAACCTTCAGAAGTCTTAAAACAACCACCACAACAGCAATCCTTCCTACCGCCAGGCCTTTGTACCCGCTGGTGTGCCTGCCCCTGCCTGCTGACATGGCCATCCCCTTCTTGTCCTGAAGATGCCACTTCATCAGATGGCATTCCCAGAGTTCTGCTGGTGTAATCTCCCACCTCCATTTTTAATTTCTTTCTTTCTTTTTTTGGTACCAGGGATTGAACTCAACCCCTGAGCCCCATCCCCAACCCCATATTATATTTTATTTAGAGACTGGGTCTCACGGAGTTGCTTAGTGCCTTGCTTTTGTGGAGGCTGGTTTTGAACACGCCATCCTCCTGCCTCGGCCTCCTGAGTCACTGGGCTCCCAGCCTGTGCCACCACGCAGGGCCCCATTTTCAATTTCTTAATAGATACTTTTTAGATTGAGAAACTGTTTAGACTCACCACAGTTGCTAGAAATAACAGAGGGATCCCTGATACACTTTGCTTAGCTTCTCTCAATGGTAACATTTTGTAAGACTCTAATGTAACCAGGATATTGATTTCCATGCAATCCACTGATCTTGTTCAGATTTCCTTAGTTTTACTTGCAATCTCTGTGTGTGTATTTTCTTCTATGTAATCACTGGGTGGATTCAGGTATCCAGCCCCATAGTAGAAAACGCTGGGTTCTGCACATCTCTGTTGCTGCTTTTCCCACAAACGCATCCATTTCTTCCTATTCCCCATCCCTAACCCCTGGCAACTAGCAATCTACTCTGCTTCTAAAATGTTGTCATTTCAAAAATGCTATGTTAAGTGGTCAGGCAGTGTGGCGACCCTTCTGGGATTAGCCTTTTTCATTTAGTTCAATCCTCAGTTTCCTTTTCTTGGCTGAGTACTATTCCATGGTGTGTCTGGACCACAATTGGTTATCCATTCACTGTCACCATACTCGGTTTATTATATCATTCCTTTTATTTCCCTGCCAGAGCTATAACTCCATGAAACGCTCCAGTGAGCAGGTCTGTTGGTGTGTCCAATCTCTGCTTCTGCAGAATAGAAGCCCTGGGGACCAGGGCTATGTCTTCCTGTCATGCCTTTTCCAAGCGTGGTACTTGGCATATCATCGGCATTTGGAGAATGTTTGTTGGACAGATGCTCAAATGAGCGCTCAGAAACATAGGTCCCAAGTGAGGGTGCATTGGGAAGAAAGCCATCAGGGAAGGACCAAGGGTGAGCTTTATTCATGTATCTCTGGCTGGGGTTAGGTGTTAAAATTGCCACTGAAGGTAAAGTTATCTTCAAAAATCCTTTCAGTCACCTTGACACTGTGGCTCAACAGGCAACGATGAACTTAGTGCCATTCTGGGCCTTTGAGCTAGGAACCCGGTTTTCCAGTTTCCCAGTCCTGGGAAACCGTGGAAGAGGAGGATATTGAACGGGGGACGGTAAGATCAACAAGGGGGCTTCCTTCACTTCTTGGAGGGGCCAAGTGGGTTTGGTTGGATTTTGTAAATGTGCTTATGACGTAATACGTGTATGACATAATGAGCATATCAGACCCTATGCAGACGATATCACAAATATATAATGTAATGTCCCTATTACGGAACATGCACACGATGTGATCTGCAAGGGCGTAACTTGCCTATGATGGAACTAGACATGGGAGGTGCCATGCTGTCGCGTGGCCCGCTGGCCCACGTGATGTCATGTGCATGTGAGGTGACGTGCATGTGACGTCATGGCACATCCCCGGGAACTCATGGGCTTTCCCCTGGCTGACCCACCGTCTCTCTGCTCCTTTGTTCCACCCAGGAGGCAACCTTTCCAAGCAGGACTGGATCATCCAGTGGCCCACCCCAGAGACGGGCAAGGAGAACAATCCCGTGTGCCCTCCGGAGCCCGCCCCGTGGATCCGCACCCACCTCTCTCAGAGCCCCAGGGTCCAGTCCAAGTGTGTCCAGCACTTGTGTCACACCAGCCCCACGCCGGGGGCCCCCGTGTACACCCACGTGGACAGGCTCACCGTGGACGCCTACCCAGGCTTGTGCCCGCCGCCGCCCCTGGAATCGGGCCACCGTTCCCTGCCCCCCTCACCCCGCCAGCGGCACGCAGTCCGCACCCCACCACGCACCCCGAATATCGTCACCACTGTGACCCCGCCAGGCACGCCGCCCATGAGGAGGAAGAACAAGCTGAAGCCCCCGGGGACGCCGCCGCCCTCCTCCCGAAAGCTGATCCACCTGATCCCGGGGTTCACGGCGCTGCACAGGAGCAAATCCCACGAGTTCCAGCTGGGTCACCGCGTGGACGAGGCGCACACGCCCAAGTGAGTGCAGCAGAGGGGCTGCATGGGCGGGGCCTGAGCAGAGTGGGCATGGCCTGGGCTGTGTGGGCGGGGCCTGGGCTGTGTGGGCGGGGCCCGGACTGCGTGGGCGGGGCCCGGGCTGCATGGGCGGGGCCTGAGCAGAGTGGGCATGGCCTGGGCTGTGTGGGCGGGGCCTGGGCTGTGTGGGCGGGGCCCGGGCTGCGTGGGCGGGGCCCGGGCTGCAAGGGGCTGTCCGGTGGCCCCAAGACTTGGGTTTCCCAGCTCCAGCAGAATCAAAAGTGGCTTTTCACTGAGAGTTCCAGAAAGTGGAATTTTCTAGAATTGACTTTTTTTTTTTTTTAATGCTAGTAGTATTCTAGAGGCCTAGGGGCTAATTCTGACCTGTGGCCTGATTTTATAAATAAAGTGGATTGGAACACACCCCCGCTTCATGCCTTCATGAATGGTCTGTGGCTGCTTCCGAGTAACAACTGCAGAGATAAATATGAGCCCCAAAGCAAACTGTTTCCCATCTGGCCCCCTCCGGGAGAAGTTTGCTGTCCCTTACAGAATCTAGTCCAGGGACACCCCTGGAAAACAGGGTGCCAGCCGAGTTATTTGCCTTACATTTTCTGGGTGCCGATGAACATTAGAAAGAAAGAAGTGATACTGATTTTCACACGTCACTTAACCAAATATGTCAGAATACTGTTTCAACATAGAATCCATGGAAAATACTATTACTGAGATAGTCTTCTTTTCTCTACGGGGGTCTTTGAAATTCAGTGGGAATTTGGCCCCTGAGGCTCATCTCAGTTGAGGGTGAAGGGAAGCCCAAGGCATTGCCTTGGCCACCGGGAGCCAGGGAGCTGCAAGCTGAAGAGGAGATTCAAGAATTAGCAGATGGCAGCGTAATTCACAGGTCTATAGATGCAGCATCATTCAGTCGTAGGTAGGAAATTCTAATGCCTGCCACAACCTGGGAGAACCTTGAAAACAGTCTGCTAAGCAGTGCAAGAAGCTGGACATGAAGGTCCAATAGCGTGTAATTCACAGATGAGGTCCCCAGAGTCCTCATATCCTCAGACACAGAGGGAGTGCAGGGGCTGCCGGGAGCTGGCGGGAGGGCAGCTGGGAGCTTCTCTGTTGTTTGATGGGTACAGAGTTTCAGTTTGGGAGGAGGAGAAAGCTCTGGAGGTGCAGGTGGTGATGTTTGCACAGTGATGCGAATGTACTTCATGCCCCTGAAAGGGCACTTAAAAATGATTAAAATGGCAACTTTCATGTTATGTGTATTTTACGATTTAAAAAAGCAAAGAAAAAAGGGGTGAGGGAGCCTATCAGACAGTCCAGAAATCCGTTGAGGCCCCAAGAGTAAGTACTTCTGCTTTGCAGGCCAGAGTCCCTGCAGTTGCTCAGCTCCGCTGTTGGAGAAGCCAAGGAGCCAGGAAGATAGGCAGGCAAAGGGGCGGGGCTGTGTTCCAAGGAAACTTTATTTATAAGAGCAGGTGCCTGGCCAATCTGGCCTACAGGCCGAATGGTCTAGAGAGTGGATCTTCCTTCTAAGGTGCAGGGAAGACCAAAAATCAATTTAAATGGAAGACTTACGTGACTTTAGCAGGGTCATCCGAGCTGCCTGGGGGAACCTAAGGTGGAGACCTGGCACGCACGTTTGGAACCTCAGATTTTGGAGCAGAGAGGCCAGACACTTTTCTGATGGCAGTTGAGTTTGATCTTCTTGGTTTTATGAGAGCAACAGAGATTGGGGGCTGCTGAGGCCTCCAGGCCAGCAGGCTGGGGAGGGTCCCCTGAGGGCAGGGGGCGTGGCTAAGGGAAGGTTGTGGGGCGTCACCTGGCATCTGCTGCTCCCTCTCTGCGCCTCCCTTACCCCTTCCCTGGGCGCATCACGAAGTTAGGTGGACCCTGGTCAGCCAGCAGAGCCGCTGGACCCATAATCTTTTAAATCTACAAGGTGGATTTTAAGCGCTGGTTCACCTTGTCTGAAAATGCTGAAGAACCCCCTCCCCAAAGTCTTACCCATTAGCGCGGCCACCTTCAATGCGTTTTGGAAATTATGCATCAGGATTCAGGGTGGGAGCCCCGCCGTCGGGATTCTTCTGTCCAGTGAGCAAACTCAGCCCTTCAAGGCCGGCAGCTCCAGGACCCACCTCTGGGGATGCTGAGTCTTATGGCAAGGAAGCCGCTCAGGGGAGGAACACAGGGGTCAGTTTGGTGAAGTGGATAGTGCCATGGAACCATCTGGCTTGGGACAGTGCCACCAGGTTCACAGGGCACCGGGGCACTTGGCCTTTGGGTGTTTGGGGGTAAAAAAAACCCAAGAGAGGTATTCACTGGGTTGAGTGCGACTGGTCCAGTTGGCATTTCCCTGTGTCTGAGCTGATCCTGGTTCTGGCGGGAGGTAGCCTTGGGACCTTGGATTTGACCTTGCTGAGGCTCCACTTTCTCTTCTGTGCGCTGGAGGGTTGGGTACGTTTATGTCTTTCAATCTGAGCTTATGACCTATTAGTGGATGGTGGTGACCAGCCCTTAAAATATGAAACAGACTGGCCCAGAGTAGAATACATGGCATGTGTTGCATGTGAAAGGTGTTAGTGTTGTTTTGTGAAGTTGTTCAAATGACCTACCAAATATAGGACTCTGTGGGTGGAGCTGTCTTTCATTCAGTCTGGTTTCTTCCCTCCTTCTGCCCCAGGGGCTTGCTGCCCAGTGTGGTGCTAGCCCCTGACTCTCAGCCACCTTTGTTTCAGAAGGCACAGGTCTCTCCCGACAGTACCCCTTGTCTTTCAAAACTGTTGGTTCCTGTGAGTTTCCGAGCACCCGGTGGAGGTCCTGGGTTGGAGGGAGCCTGGGGGTAGATCTTCTGTGGCCGGCGCTCTCTGGAACAGCACGGTGGCGTTTAAGATGGTCTGGTTGCGTTTCAGTGAGGTCTCCAGGAGTCCCACAAGGGCCTTCTCAGTGAGCAGAGCAAGAAAACCAGAAAACATCAGCAGCATCCGGAAGCCCGTCTCCCTGGGAGCCTGGCTGCCCAGGTGTGTTGGCAGACGAGCCGCAGCCATGGTCCTAATCCAAACAGTTCTCAAAGACCAGCTTGCTTGCTTCTGTTCCTTTTCTTTCTTTCTTTCTTTCTTTTTTTTTGTTTTTTGGCATTTGAGTTTCAGTCTGTGGTTTTACACTCCCCTGGCACTACTAAAACACACACACACACACACACACACACAGAGCTTTATTTATTTTTTTCTAGTGACAGTAATACCTCCTTATGGAAGTTTAAACAACTTAGGAAATATTATCAGGGAAATGGAAGGTTTCTATTGCTTTTCTCGTTTTCTGTGCCTGTATCCAGCGTGCACATAGAGCATGGATTTCCAAAAGGTGAAATCACCCCTTCCGGGGGCAAAAATTGGTTGTTGGGGGAGGCAGAAGATCCGGATGTTACTGTAGTTTGTGGTCCCCTGAAGAGCTGGAGTATCAAAACAGGTCAGATAGAGTTGATCTGTGTCATTACATTTAAAACATACTTTTATTTACTTAGTTTTTTATTAATTAGTATCATTTTAATCATACCTATCTATTTATAGGGTACAGTGTGATAATTCAGTGCATTCATTATACAACATGTTATGATCAAATCTGGGTAGATAGCATTTCCAGCTTTTCAAATATTTGTTTTTCTACTTTTAATCGACACATGATAATTGTGCATACTTGCAATAATCAAGATATGGAATCAAACTAGATGCCCACCAGCAAATGACTTGATAGAGAAAATGTGGCATATATATATATAAAATGGAATATTACCCAGCCATTAAAAAGAATGCTACTTATCATTTTTAGCAAAATGTGGCATTAAAATTTCACTGGGGGTCGGAGATTGAGATGAGGACAGAAAAAAAAATCTGTTTTAAAAGGGACCTAAAGGGAGCCTAATGAAACACCAACATAGATCTTTGAATAGAATCCTAGAGACCCAGTTAGATATAGACACGGGGACCTTCCAAGAATCTCCAACATTTCTGCCCCATAGTCTACGTTCTTTGATTTCACTCTGGCTTGTGGCCACCTGATCTGAGAAGACCACCACCACATCTTTACAATTAGCTCTTTCAAAAATGAAGAGAGAGCCATCGCAAAGATCCTGGCCACCTTGACCCTCATCCTAAGGATCCCAACCATGGCTGCATTGCCAGATGATGAAGCCCTGAGCAGTTCTTAGTGTGCAATGATGTGCAGGTCTTCACATTCCTCCCTCTGCCTATGAGACCAAGGACTCACTCTTTCCTGTCATAGGATATAAAATGGCTAAGTTGTATCTCTTTAAACAGAATCATTTTATTATATTTTAAACTGGATCATTCTAAATGCATAGGAGCTCAGCATGAAAAAGAAATTCTATTGTAAATCTTGTATGTGTGTGTGTGTGTGTGTGTGTGTGTGTGTGAATTTTTCTTAAAGATTTATTTTAACTTCAATTTTAATTCTGGAAGTAATTCCCAGATACATCTTTATTTGGAAAATACAAGTAATGTAAAATGTAAGCAATAAAAAGGTAAAATTCCACCCCCGCCCTTGCTATAGAGAACTGCTATTACTACTTTGATCTGATCTTCCCGCACCCTCTTCAGGTTTCTGAGTGCAGGGGTTACAAATCTAGTTCCCTTTCCTCATAATTGGAGCCACACTGTCCCTTAGCTAATGTGACTGGCCTTTGTTGGTCGTGCATAAACATGAATGTTGCATTTATGATCTTTTCACCGTTCACTCCTTTTAGAAGTTCCCCTGTTTGTGCCAAAGCTCATCTAGAATGTTCTTGGTGCCTGTCTCTTGCTTTTTGACCTCGATCTGGTCTGAGCCGTTTCGTGGGTGGAGACCCTTCTGGGGCGGTGTGTCAAAGCCTTGGGCTGCTGGAAGCAGGGAGAAGCAGGCTGGATGAGAGACCCCCCCCCTCCCGGGCACTCACAGGCTTCCGACTCCCTACACGGTCCAGGCTAAGTTGTCGG